TCCACTGCCCTTTAGGTCCTTGGCCTCTGCTCTGATAGCCCAATCCACCGCCCTCTAGGTCCTCGGCCTCTGCTCTGATAGCCCAATCCACTGCCCTTTAGGTCCTTGGCCTCTGCTCTGATAGCCCAATCCACCGCCCTCTAGGTCCTCAGCCTCTGCTCTGATAGCCCAATCCACTGCCTGTAGTGTAGCTATACCCCCCTACTTACAGCCCTGTTAAGGTTTTTATTCCCACCCACCCCTCCCCCCATTTGTATCACCACTGTATTTGTGTACTTAAAATTGTGTAAATAAATTAATAAGTACTTGTATGTTTTTGACTGACTGTATTTCACTGTACAGTTTACCGTCGTCCACAGCTGAAGAGTATGCTACAGGCTGGCCCAGGGTGGCATTTGAGATGTTTGATAGTGACCTCTTTAACAAAGAGGATCTTGTCACACCTGTATTTACATGAGCCTAGGCTCATATGCACAGTGGGGTTGTGTAAACCAGCACTGGTCCTGCCTGACAAACTGCTTACGCAACCTGAAGCTGGTGATGTTTCCTGCTAGACCGGCGGGACGGGAGCCGGGCCGTGGAGAGAGCAAAGGGGCCGATATCCGGGAGGTGTAGAAATGACACCATCCGGGTGGAGTCCTGGGTGGCACTCTGGTGAAACACGATCCTTGGAAGAAGATCACTGAGGACTTGTTGCTTTAGACCTAAAACAAGGTCATTTGATGACCTTCAGTATTTTCTGGGCTGTGGCTTCTGTCTAGAGCAGGGCTCTTCAACTCTGGACCTCGATTCCAAATCCAGGCCGTGTTTTCAGTTCTCCCAGGTAGTTGTTTAATAATTACTGATTCTGATTGGTCCGAGGCTTCACACCTGACTGACAGGTAAAGGAAGGCTGGAAAACCAGCAGTGCTCGGACCTTGAGGACCGTGAGTTGAATAACCCTGGTCTAAAAGCAATGCTTTATCTTGAATGGTGAATGTGAGAGAGACCGATGCCTTTCTGTAAATGATTCGGTCTTTCTGCCATCCTTTGGTCACCTACCCTGAACCCACTTAACCTGGGTGGGATTTGGATTTTGTGAGCTTGGGGTGTGTCTGGGGGGCATAACAGAACATGCACTATGGAACCAAGGGGTGCTACCTCCGACATGACACAGGACTTGTAGCCTGTAGGTAAGAGTGTGGCATGGTGGGTGTCATGGCGGGATTCTGTTAATGTTGGGATTACAGTGATGCATGCAAGATAAATTTGTGATCTTTTCTACATGGGATTAGTGTTCATGAAAGCTCTTTAGGTAAGCATCTTCAGCTCGTTACTCCAGATTTGTGTTGAAATTAATTCCGACAGTTTCAGTGCTCTGTCCTGGGCGACTATGGCGATAAGATGTTTCAACATGAGACTATTCCAGAGTAGCTGGAAAAGGAAAGTGGGTGACCATAAAGGGGTGTCCTTAAAGGCAAGAGCATCTGGCTGCAGATCTCCACCAGGAGGAGCTCCACTACAGGGACGGAAACACGTGATCTCCACAAGTAAGTCCGGACATGACGTTATGCAAACTTACGCCATGGAGGCAGTACCAGATATCACATGATCTCCACGCACAGCCTGGATTTGTCAGTGGGAGGGTGTTTAGCTTTGTCGAAATAAAAAAGTGGGTAGAACAAGCAACAACGGTAGCATTCGACCGGTGGTTTTTTTTCTCCAAATTTAGCTTTAAATTGGTTACTTAAGCTAAGACTGACTGTCTACTGAAAAATAAAAAATATTTATAAAATTATAAATAAATTTATAAATATTTGTCTTGTGCGCACAAGTTATTATTTGGAAGGAATAGATTAGCTGCGTATAGCTGTCATAAGAGGTTTATTTCAGGACGCCGTACTACGTTTGCTAGACCTGGCATTAGGGTACAGTAA